TATGTTGTATCTAGATTGACCCTACCAGGAGGGTTTGTTGGGGTGTGACATTAAAACTCACAATGTTTAATCATAATCAAAGTCATCTCAAGTTATTTGGACATTATAAATGGTCTGCATCAAATGCTCTCTGCCACTTAAGAAGTGACCATATACACACCTTAGTTTTCTTCTTATTTGTTGCAGAAGACCAACGAAGCTTAGAACAACTAAAAGATATATAGATAAATTAAGAGTCAATTTATAAAAGATTCATTTGAAATTGAAAGCCAATATTATCTTCCACTTCAACCTTAATGATCGTATCATAGACTCGGATGTTTCTAGAACTTCTGAATTTGGTTCTGAAGCATCCAATGTTAACAACCAATGGCAATCTTGCAAAAACCATGCCTTTTGGAAGTTTCTTCGGTCTGATGGATGCATAAAGTCGCCAGCAACTCCCTCTTGTGCATAGAAAAACCTTGATATGACAACGAGGATAGTTTTCAAACTGACTATCAATCAATTAAAACGATGACTTTTGAAAAAGGTTGAAATGGGAACAACCGTGGCCAAGTTCAATTAATTCAATGTTTAATAAAAACAAAATAATGTATTAATTCAATTAAATAAAGTAATCAAATAGTTCGAAGGTTCAAGTACTTATTTTCACCAAGAACTGGCAGCCTAGATGCTACTTGCTTATAGAAGGGGAACAAGTCACGGTAAGCCACATAAAGTAACCACCATGACAATTGTAAGCAATATTTATCGAAGTTACATTCATCAAATCATCATGGAAGCTTGAAACACAGTTTGGCAACTCATTAGTGATAAACCAACTCTCTTAAATTTAAAACTCGGCAAGTTGCCCAGGAGATGACCCTCTCTCATTCCTTAGTACTTTTAAATTCACCTTAAATAACACTTGAAGTCGCTTATCCACGCATAGACCTCAGCTACATTTGCAAGGTACCCCTCTGTTGCCTAGCGATTCTTGCCAAAAGAACTAGCTGAGTACTCGCCCGGTGGATGACTATCTAGAATCACCCTCTACACAACCACACCAAGTCTTATCAAATAATTGTCTTGTATTTTTGTCATGCAACCCTTCTGTAATAATTAACTTCGGCCTATAACTATAAATAAGTTGAGTGAGGGAAGGAAAACAAGGAAAAGCCATGATACAACCTCTTACTTTAGTCTGGTACTTTAAGGTTAAAATGTTGTCCACCTCAAATCTTTTTGAATACTTGAACAAACTCTCTTCCTTTCATAAGCTTAGTGTTGGCTTAGTTAAACTCATTGTTTCTCTAAGTTGTCAAATGTGTCTCTTACAAACCCAAAAATAACTAAAAAGAATATTTGAATCTGACCCTTAGGCTAAATCTACAATCATAAGGTCTTAGTGTTTTTCACAGATAATATTAGATTTAACATACTCTAAAGGACATTGAGCAATGGAGATTGCTATGAAAAAGAATCATATTGTAGGGCATATCAATGAAAAATCATTATAGAGTGACTATTGGATAATTTGCTCAGCAAAATAATCACAAGAATCTTTGAATGTTTTTTTAAGGCTATTCATCTCAATCATTTCTTACGAGAATATCACTTCAACATTTCTCTTATTCGTCATCGGCCCAAGATCAACTACTAAAAATCCTAACAATGAACCCTATCTATTAGAGGAAAGCTCCATGGAGAATCTTCGCCACTAACAATCAACATCATACTCAACACATCAAGACTGTTTCAGTGAAAATTGCAGAAGCTCAACTTCCCTTGAGATTCAAGGTGTCTTACTTGGAAACTTACTAGAGGAAGTTAGACCCATCCATCCATAGTGTCAACAATTTCCCTCATCACTATTCATGACATAGTAAAAATTTGGCTATCATCATCACACAATCAAAGAGCACTGCAATGATGTTTCTTATTTCTTTTGCCAAAGAGCATTACTTGCTTCAATCTTCAAGAGATAATTCATCATACAATTCATAGTGCACAGAAGTTGCTAAAGAATTATCGAGCTTTACTAAGTAAGCCACGAGCCTAACAAGTAATTATATTGCTTCACTATATATTTCTAGCACAAAAATGTTGGTTGTTCAAAACTATGAGCCATCCATCACCCAAAAAGCACCAACTCAAGGTCTCTTATAATGGCCTTTTAAATAGGCACTTGGTTTGTAATAGCCAAGGATACTAGACAATTTGCTCAAGTTCACCAACAATAACATCAACGCTAAGGAATACAACTATGTAATCTTTGCTTCTTCGTCCAAGCTACCTAATTCTAGTATCACATGAGATTCTTATTGCGATAGAAACTTAAGATTTGATCGATTCAAATAAAAATCACACCGTGAAAAAACACACCTACTCAAAAGATCCAATATAATAAATTGAGCAGAAACACACAACAAAAAAATCCATAAAAAGTACATAAGGATTTAACATGGAAAAACCCGAGAAAAGAGAAAAATCATGAAATCACACCACACATAAAATTTCATTATGAAAGGAGAATAGTACAAAATTATACCACTTAGATCTACTCTTTATACTACTGAAATGTATAGCAATTCTTGTTCTTTCCTTTGTTGATTTCACAAAAGAAAGCCCTCGTTGAAATCCACCCTCGACTCTCTCAACAAAACTTTGCTCCTGTTACGTACCATTGAGAATACACAACGCAAGAGAGAGTGATTAGGGATTAAATTCTTAACTGCGTACAAACCACCCATGACTCCATAGTGCTGCTCCGGTGTATTGTCTTTCTGCTTGCTCTGGTTAAACTGAAGAACAGTTGACGTTTAGGTGCCCCCCATTTCGTAAGGGCGCCACACACTCTAGACCAAGGCGCAGAGGCATCGAGGAGCTCCCGATGAGGCTCAGGGGCGCAGGTTTTGGTGCCTTTCTTTTGTACTGCTAGGTATTGGCATGCAAGCAAACTTCATACTCAATAATCTCCCATTTGGACATTGATTTACACCCAACACCTCTTTTTCAGATCTACACCTTCATCTGTATCATCGTCATGCTTTTGTATCGTAGCGTGGCTCGTCTTCGATCTCAACCTTCCTAGACTCCAGTTGAAGCTAAGAATAGTTTCAGTTTCTCAATAGTCACCACCTTAGTCAACATATCCGCAGGATTCTAAGCTGTGTGTATCTCCTCTAGAAATAACTATCCATCTTCTAGGATTGAACGAATAGGTGATGCCTCAGTTGAATATGCTTTGTCTTGACATTAAAAACATCATTCTTAGCCAGATGTATTGTAATAACTATTTTTTGATAAATTTAATAAAAATTTCGACAACTTAAAGTGTACCTCAATTTTCGCACCCTTCAAATTTCAATCAAGTTAAATTTATAAAATTCTACGTGCCGAATCAAACAATTCAATATAAAGAACTACCGATAACCAATAGCACACTATCATTGGCTAGAAGAATCCACTCTTGACATCGAAAACCACTGTCTTCATAGTAGCTTCTCCAATAACAACCCTTACATTGGGTGGAAGAATCCAGTCTTGACCACCTTCTACTATTTATGGTGGTTTAGTCTTAACCTCCTTTAATATAGGTAACTTAGAGGATGTTGATTCCCCCGTAGCCATCTTAGCACAGCATGCCAATAATACTTTGAATTTCTTGAATAATCTATCAGATACAAAATTAGATAGACCAACAACCTTTTCATCTTGTAAGAAATGGAAAAAAATATCATAAGCACTTTAACAATTAAAGAGCAGTGATAAAAAAATAAGCAGCAAAAATTTTTCAATAAACTCAAAGTCTTGTATCAACGAGTTTTAGTATATTTTCATAACTGCCATTTGTGAAAGATTCAAGCAACCAACAAATTTGACGTCTTAGATCTTCTAGGTTGAATTGGGTTTGTTGTTTTCATTCCCTTTTTATTCTCAGCTTCTTGAATGATGCACAAGAATCAAAGAACTAATGTAAAACTATATTTTCCTAGCTTTGGTTCATGAGTTATCATAGAAGCCCGAACTTGATTCAATAATCACCGGTCATAAGCCAATTTGGTGTTAATCACCTAAAGCCTTTGCTTTAGCCAAGTTGTGCAGGTCGCCACCTTACTAAATCTTCAGTGTTTGGATACTAAATTTGCTACAAAGAGCTCTTAAATTTACCTAATCACTAGACTATTCACCCATAGACCTCAATAAATCGTCCAAAATATTGGACTTTAAATTAGGGGTGCCCCTATAAGATCACTTGCCTAAAATTCCAATATCTTGGATTCCACTTTTGCTGGATTTGCCCAGCACACAATTAGCTACATTAAGACACTATATGTTTTCTTATATTTTTTCCCTCATGTAAAACTTCTCATGCCATCGAACAAGGCCCAAACCAATAAATAAAGAGTCATTGGATTAGGGGAGAGAAAATTTTATGAGCAATTCTAGTATTGGGGACAAACAGTCTCCTAAAATCTCTCTAAATTCTTTAACAATCTCTCTCCCTCTCTCTCTCTCTCTCTAGCCTGGTCAAGTCTCCTATACCTAAAATCAGTAAAGAGAATCTTTGAATCGAAGCCCTGAGCTCAATCTGCAGCTGCAGTAAGATTTTAATATTTTTCATAGAAAACATCAAATCCAACAACGGACATCTTTCCTTTTCATTCTATCCAACAAACAGGCTAGATCCATCACCCATTGACTTACCCAAGCCCGATCTTGCCTCCATATTTTGTTTGAATTCGACTTTCAAGTTCTCTATAAAATGTCCATGATGCATCTCCATTGAAACCCAAAAAAATGGACAATCTTAAGCAACAGCATCCTGACTGATTTTCCATTGGGATGCCCATAATCAGGTTTTGATGCTCACTACATCCTAACAAAAAACTTCCTCCAAGGTTCCACACAAACCTAAAAACTTGGAAAAAGTGTATATAAAAGAAAAAGAAAGATTCAAAACAAAGCATCAACATGTTTAAAAAAACAACATTAATAGAACTGCAATGACGCACCTGGCACTAGGAACTTTGCTGGGGATATCGGGCTGGAACTCCAGCGGCAGACCGAGAAACCCATCAAACCTATCGAACGTCACATGGGCGATGTGCTGAACATCAGTCGGCCGGCCGATGTCCATGGAAGCTCCAGCACGTTCTTCCCCAGCTCCTACGCTGCACATCACCAACGACTTCCGCAGCACCGCAGCCACAGTCCCCACTATGGAGAACTGCTGACCCCGACCCTCCCTTCCGTCCCCGCCGCCCTCCTCCACAGCCGGCGCGATCAGCGAAGACGAAATGAGATCATCGCTGCACCCGCACTCAACCACTTCGTCGTCTGTCTCGTCGACAGGAGTGCGGCGGGAGAGCGAATATGATGAGGAGAGGAAACCAAGAAGGAACGGGAATCTAGCCATGGTGGGGGAAAGAAGGTTAGTGTGTCACATGGCTAGAAGAAGGTTAAGGAAATAGCTTAGGGCGGGAATGGAGAATAGCGGAGGAGAAAGCGGATTACCCACCGTCAGGATTCTTGCTCCATTGCAAATAAATATTCTTAGCGGAAACTGAGATAAAGCTGCAAGCGGCAAGGAAGGGGATCTTTAAAGAAGCACTTTCTTCGTTTTGCAGTTGCCTGCCTCCCGTTCAGGAACGGTCGGGTCCACGACTACAACGACCGGCTTTTTTGGGTCTAGCTCGGCCGGGTGAGACCACACATACCACGTTTTCAGTAGTTTATGGACAAGGAGTCATAATGGGTGTACATTAGGATATTTGCGTACGTAAGATGTACGCAGAGTTGTGTATGTTCGGAGATTATTCAGAAGGTATAAGATGGTTATATCCGTCTTATACCCTCTTTAACTTCTGTGTAACCTACCTGTAACATATATGTAACCTACAAATAAGTTATGTGTTTCTGTAGCTCCGGTAATTACAGTTAAGTCACAGGAAGGTTACAGGAGGGTATAAAACGGATATAACTCGTCTGTACCCTCTAAATAACCGTGAAGTACGCAGCGCTGCGTACCATCTTACGTATGCAAATATTTTTCGTACATTAGAGGAATTTGGAAAGGTTGGGATTTTCTTCACTAGTGTGTCCTATTTGATTACTTGTTATATTTTTTTGTTCGACAAAAGAGAGTTAGCACATCCTAAATTTAATGTATCAGTGCTACAAAATAAAGTCAACAAATAATAATATGTAAGAAAAAATTCACAGGATATCAAAAAAATTATTTACTCGTCCTAAACATTTAGATTAGCAAGAAAAAACTTATATTAACCAAACATTTCAAACAAACAAACTTATTGAAGGCAAGGCAAGTTTGTTTTGACTTTTCATGAATTTTTGCCCTTCTAAATGAGTTTAATATTTAAAGATTATTAAAAATTCATTGATAAAACATAACTTTATATGTCTTGATTCCTTTCTATTCACTTGATTTATTATTGAAAGCTTCATTCATTTTAGAGTTTTCTTGAAGAAGTTATCAGAGTTTTAGTATATAAGGGTATATTTGTAAATTTCTCATTTTTAACTTCAACAACTTCATTTCAAAGTGAAAGTGACTTTTTCACACACACACACACACACACCCACACACACACACACACACACACACACACACACACATATATATATATATATATATATAATTGCTTGATATTCTTAAGTTCAAACATTTCTTTAAACACATGAATTTTATTGTTCAATTATTGTTTAACTTTTGGCTAGTGATTTCAAATCTAATTTTAAATATTTCAAGTTTGAAAAGTCCATTTTGGTTGCTTAAAAGTAGTAAGGGTATATTTGTAATTTTGACAAATTACAAATATGCCTTTAATCATTTTTTAATTCCAAACTCTCTAAATTATTATGTTTCGATTGATTATTAATCAATTATAATCAAATTTAAGAAGTTTTAATAATTACTTTTTAATCTAAAGATTAAAGATTTAAATATTAAGGGTATATTTATAATTTTAGAAAAATTACAAATACAACTTTCTTTACTATTCTGCTTATGTATTTCTTGGATCTTTATTTTTTGACTGATATATACTAATTTGAATTCATATTTTCATATTATTGATAAATTATTGATAAATTTTAATAATATTTTACAAATATTAAGGTTTCTAAATGTCTAAATTAAGCATTATGATATAATTATAATTTCTCAAATTTTGTCCAATTTTTCTTAATTTTTTTATTAATTCCACTTGTTAATTTCATCAAACTTTAAGAAACATTTAAAAGAGTGAATTGAATGATTATTCAATCATTTTTCATCAATTAAATTCATTCAAAAAATTATAAAAAATAAAATTTTAATATTTCAAATATTTGCAAATTTACCTTACATGCATTTCAACTTTGCAAATCAAAATCAAATTCAACCAATTAATTTCAATTGTTCAATGGATCATATCATCAAAAATCCAAAATATAATTCTTGGTTTTAATTGGAATTAAAAAAAAAGGTTTAAAATCCAAAAAAAAAAAATTATAAATATACCCTTATGCTTCCCAAATGATTTTATTGAATTCAAATGAATGAAACCATCTTTTTTTCCTCATAGTTTCTCTATTTTAATTCTTTTCTTGAAATTGCAAATGAGTTTTATTTTTTGAAATTTTGGTTTATTTATTGTAGTTATTTTTCAAATTAATTACTAATTTAATGAGAGCTTGTAAAATTGAAAGATAAATTAAAACATAATTTATAATATAAATTTGTGAATATTTTTTTTTTATGAAAAAAATGTTTCATCATAATCTTTAAGTAAGGGTGAAACTACTAAGAAATAAATTGATCGGCATGAAAGCATTAATATAAAACTATTCTCTTTTCGTATGTCTGTGACATAACTTTACATATTTTAATATGGCACACCTTCCCCAATCCAACTTCCTTTAAGGATCTAATGAAAGAAATAAAATATTATATGGTAATTAAATTCAAGTTTCAATCATATTTTATTTTGAAGTTTTACATATAGAGAATCAAACAATCACTAATCAACCAATTAAAGAAAGAAATCAAGAGTCTATGGATAAATGAAGTCTCCATTCTTTAAAAATAAGTAATGAATTTTTTTTAGTTCATAAAATCATGATAGAGATGTTATAAAGTATTGATAACTTTGAAATAAAAATGTACTTGAACAACATTTTGTTACTATGTAAAGTCTTTTTTATATGCAATAAAAGGTAACGCATGGTAGCTTTTTATTTATTAGACTACCTTATTGAGTATGCTTAAACATTATATTTATAATATTTTGTATGTTCTAGTTTCCCTTTAATGATAATTTCTCTTCATTTTTTATGTCATGTCTCTATCGTTGATAGCCAACCTTCATTCGAAATATATACTCTATTCATAAATAACTACACTTCATGTTAGAACCACCCTTATATCTATTGGTTCATTAGTGTACATAAATGAAATCAAGGTAAAAATTATGTTATCACTTAATTCAAGGATTGATGAATGACATGGAAATGAAAGTACATATATCATAATTCTACTTTTGTGACAAAATATAACATTGAGAGTAATGAAATATCTTAAAAGATAAAAATATAATTCTATAATAAATTGAAAGAGACGAATAGGGTTTTATAAGAATAAATATTTTCTAAAATTTTCACTCACTTACATTATATTAGTAAAGGTTTATTTTATTTTATGGTATAAGTTTCCCCATAAAAGAAAGCACTAATGATTGCTTAAATCCCAAGATTGATGACATAATGAAAACACCAAAAATTAAAGTAGTAGCAAATAATTTAATTAGCAAATAATTTAATTATTTAAAGTTCAAAAAAGGTGAAATTTTAGAAATTTAAAAGAGATTAATTCAAATTTAAATAGTACTTTTCAAGGATCTAAAAGAAGAGATTTGGGAGCTTGTACTATGAAAAGTTCAAATTTCTCCAAACTATCTTGTATTGGACATTACTATTTAGATATTTGATTTTAATGTTTAAGTTTATCATTTTATTTAGAATTTTGTATTTACATGCTATTAACACAAGAATGAGTAAATATTCAAAATTTGAAAACTTATAATATATCAATCAATAAATATCAACCTTATATCATACAACTGAGATATTAACCACTATCAAGATAGTACCTTAAACCCAAACCAAATGAATATTAAGCAATTAAGACTTTTAAATTTACAGAGGATTTAAGCAAATCTGACTCTAATAGACTTTAGATTTTTCTTGAAGGATTTATAGGCTAAACCTAACAAATGATTTTAAAATTATGAAGTCAAAGTTGTATGTAGTGAAAGATAGGCTAAGCTTTTTTTATTGAAAAAAATCAAAACTTAAAACTTAATCATTAAAGCTAAATAACTCAACTAATAGGATATGAAATAATCTAGCTATAAATTATTTGCTATTATTTGGTCCTTAAGTGAGATATAATTATCTCTAATATGAGACTCACAAATTTATATATACTTGTTCAGTAGTTAAAACAAGATTTGATGCTCACTTTTGATATTTAAGAATAATGTTGTAAGCAAAATAATCAATCAAATAATGATCATAAATAATCATGTATGAAGGGGTTCTAATTTATTTTTATTATTTAATGTTTTTTTTCCTACTGCATACATATTTTTAATTGAAAATTTAATTCTCAGAATTTACCATCATAACAAGTCTATGCCACTTTATATAAAGTTAAAAGAAAGATCTTGAAAAAAATGTATTTATATTATAGCACCTAAATAAACAATGAAGTGATAAGAAAAAAAAAGGTACAATAAAAATAGAGAAACTTTAAGTTTTGCTAGTTTCTATCATGCACCCCAATAAATTAAAGTTATATAGGGCATTTTGCTCTACCATAATAAACTCTAGCTTAGTTCTATGCAAGATAGTTTTAAGCAATCAATCTTCACATTTAATCCTCAAAATTCATTAAGCCATCACTAGAAATTCATTAGTTATACATCCAATTTATAAATCACACATGTTTTACATAACTACTATTTTCTAAAAGAGACATTTATTAAAAGCAAAATTATATAATCGCCCTTACAAAAGAAATATCAATGTAGGAAAGCATGTATGTATCATTCAACCATCTATTCATAGACACTTAAGAACAACATTCACATTGAGAAGAACCTTGTAAGTTTGAGAGCCAAAATATAGTGAGTAGGGGTGTAAATGAATCAAACACGAACAAACAGAGCTTGTGTTCGTGTTCGGTTCGTTTGAAATTTAGTTTGTTTGAAATAAGCTCGTGTTTGAAATTGTTCGTGAAGTTACTGTTCGTGTTTATTTCTTAATGAACGAGCCGAACACGAGTTGTTCCTGAACGACGAGTCAGTTTGACATCCCTAATGTTAATATATATAAATAATATATTATATTAATTATATAACTTATATTATATAAATATATAATATCTATATTAGTATATTACTAATATAGTATATTAATGTGATATTATTATTAATTTATTATATATTATAATTTATAAAATTTAATTTTTTAAAATATCATAATTTTTTTATGCAATTATTTAAAATTATTTTTATATTTCGAACAATAACGATTCGAACACGCACGAA